AGAGAGAGAGAGAGAGAGAGAGAGAGAGAGAGAGAGAGAGAGAGAGAGAGAGAGAGAGAGAGGTCACATGGCCGGCAAGCCACTCCCACAAAGGAGGCCACACCCACAGAGTAGGTTCGAGAAAATTTTGAAACCCACCACTGATAAATGGGAAGCAGAGAAACCTAACAAAGGTATCCCTATGGAGGTTCTCGGCCATCCAGGTCATGGTTGTCCCAAAGGTGCATTTTTCAAGAGGCAACTGGACTTTCTGGTTTTTCTTTGAAGATTTTTGGCTTCTCATCCAAGAAGCTTCTTCAGCTCTGGCTGGATGGTAGGGAAGAAATCCTTCCAGAATGTACGGTGCCTCTTGGAAAAGCGCCTTTGGGACTAACAGAAGTATGGCTGAAGCCTCTCTATGGAACTGGAGTTTCTGTGCTAGCAGGCACCCATGATTGACGTTAAGAGCAACTGTAACCCACATTAGCAGGTTTTCATCTCTACTTTCCCAAGAATATCTGCATCTTAGAATTCCACCTCACTGGGGCACACAATTCCTACTTGCACACAATTCTCCCTTTCTCTGGAGACCTCAATTTAATACATGTAAGTCAGAGGTGGGTTGCTGCCAGTTCGGCCCAGTTTGGCCAAACTGGTAGTGGGGGCGGCGGGAGGCTCCACCCACCTGCCCACGCTTCTGTGCATGCGCAGAAGCATTGCGCTCGTGTACACGAGCGAACTGGTAGTAAACCGGTTAGCAACCCACCACTGATGTTAAGTCCAGAAACAAACATTCAACCCCTTTTTCCTATGTCATGTCAAAAGCTAAACCACCATCCGTCTATCCTTAAGCCTCATCTAAACAGTAAAGAATGTGCGACATCTTCAGAGCAAAGAATGCCCTAATATGGCAGAGAGTTAAACACCCTGAGATTTAAGTGGTCTTTATAAAAAAGCTGTGCTGATATTAGAAGGAAACCGTAAAAGAAATAGAGAGAGAGAGAGAGAGATTCAACTCATTTTCCTGTACCATTCTGCAAAGATGTTGCGTTATAAACATCATCAAGATCTTGGATACTGGAAGCATCGGTTGAATCTTGATCGTTGGCTACAATTCCTATGGAAGAAAGGCTAGAAATAAAGGAGTGCATCCTTTTTGCATAAATATCCCTAATGTTAAAATAAGGGAGATCGTTTGTCTTTTCCTTGGGAGTGTTATCGCACTGATCTGTATCAATATCCTTCTGCTTCTGATAGTATTTCGAAAACTTGTTGAAAATGATAGTGATGGGAAGAGCGACCACCAATATTCCACAGATAATGCAGCTTGTGCCAATGATCTTTCCCCCAAGGGTGACTGGGAAGGTATCCCCATAGCCAACGGTAGTCATGCTGATTGTGGCCCACCACCAGCAAATAGGGATATTACTCAGCTCTGAACTGTCACTATCTTTTTCCACTGAGTAGACCAGAACAGAAAAAATAGAGATCCCAACGGCCAAGAACAAAAGCAGGAGTCCAACTTCATGATAGCTGTGCCTTAAGGTTGCCCCCAAAGACCTCAATCCAACAGAATGCCGTGCTAGTTTCAATATTCGGAATATCCTCATTAAGCGCAGGATTTGAACCACCTTCCCCATGTTTTCAATATCTTCGCTTTCCTCGTCTTTGGTGTCGACAGCCAAAGTGGCATAAAATGGAATGATCGATACAAAGTCAATGATGTTCAGCGGGTTCTTCCAGAACTTCTTCTGACTCGGAGCAGCAGCTAACCTGATTATAAGCTCAGAGGTGAACCAGATGATGCATATCAGCTCCACAACATCCAGGATTGGGTTTTCAACCTCTTTGTCATTGACACCCACCTTCTGGAACTCTGGCATGCTGTGAATGCACATAGTCACAATAGATGCTAGGACCACACTTAAGGAAGACACGGCAATCAGTTTGGCTGATAAACAAGATGCCGGGTTCTCCATTCGGATCCATATTTTCTTGCGCAACTCTCCAAGCCACTGTTGATCAAACTTCTCGAGCTCCTTCTCAAAGATGGAAGAGGTCTCGTTATCAGAAGAATCTAGACTCCCACCTGGGCTTCTTTGATCCCATTCTCTGTCAGGACATTCTTCTTTTCTCTCTTGGTACCAACCGCTGCAACACGCATCAATGAAGAGTTCGTTAATCCCCCAGTTCTCTATTTCCTGGCAAAAGGAGAAGACACAAAGTTCTTCCATAACATGGAGTTTACCTGTGTAATAAAAATTCAGCACGTATCTGAACAAAGAAGGGTTCCTATCAAAGTAATATTCCTTGTCTGCCACACTGTAGTCATCACAAAGTTCCAGAATTGCCTCTTCTGAATGGCACCTGAGTAGCTTCCCGAGCCTTGTGTGAGGAAATTTGAGCAGTGTGCTTTGACCAATGGACTGTTTAAAACCACCAACATTCAAGTTGACCAGCTCCTCATCTTGTCCTGGTCTGTGGAAGAATTCACCATACACCATTTTGATCACTGTGAGCTCTGCTTGCAAGGCACATAATATTACACTGCACCTAAAAAGGCAACACAAAAACACAGGCTGGTGACCCAATCTAGTCTAGTGTTCATTACAACGGTTTAAAACAGAAGGAGGAAAATTATGAACAATACTAAATATCATGAATGAAGGCAAACGATGTTGCAGGTTCCAAGCTAGGTCAGTCACTGNGTGTGTGTGTGTGTCAGAGCTGCCAGACTGCTTAGAGCTCATCTAATGCCTGATAGGACTTTTCTGCTCCACTGACCTGGCCATTTCATTAACCAAAATAGCTCTCGCGGATCAAAGCTTTAAATGATCCTGGGGTGGGGGTGGGGGGAAGCAAAGGGCACCAGCAAGTCACGAAAAGTCTGGAAGACGTAACCTTTTATTTTTTAGTTATTTATTTATTTATTAAAAAGAAAAAATACGATTTGATGATTGCAATAACACTCAGGGGCACAGACAGACAGACAGACAAAGAGACAGACAGACAGGCTGTTGTTCTCTGTTTGGAGAGCGGAGTGGAACCAAGCCTCCATCTTCACAGCGGAGGGAGACAAGGTGCTTCTGGGGATGGCGGGGATAGGAAATTATGACCTTGAATGTACAAGTGGTGTTTAAAACATAAACAGCCAGAGTAGTGCGAGAATGGCATTATCTGTTCATTGTCTCCTTAGCTGCCTTTCCCCCAGCCTTCTGTTCTCTTGCTGATGCTTTTTTGTGTTTTTTGGCAAAGGTTTTTTTTTTTAAAAAAAAATACAACTTTACACATATTATAGAAACAAAGTGTTGACCGGATCTTCCCTTTTTACATCCTCTCATTTACATAATCTATTTTACCTGCCTAGGCAGGGGGTTGGACTAGAAGACCTCCAAGGTCCCTTCCAACTCTGCTATTGTATTAAATCTTGTATCCCTCCTAGCTTGGTTTTCACTTTCAACCAAATGACTTTCTTCCGTTATTTTCCATTTTTAGTACTCATTTTTTTCTTAATACCTTCCATTGCCCCTTCAAAAATTGCACCAAATTGTCATTTCATATTTCTCTATTGGTCTGTTTTACTGTAGACAATATGTATCTAGTTTTCTTTTGACATAGAGAGCATTTCTTTCATTTTTTTTCTACAATTAACAATAGACTATGTTTTCTTTGTTTCTTAATTAGTTGCACAACAATACCAATCATAGTAATATTCCCTTTAATCTACAAGTAGTAAACTTTTTTCTTTTTCTGGGTGTGTTTTATTCACAATCACACGGCATTATGGATTGAAATGGTTTAGCACAGGGGTGTCAAACTCAAGGCTGGGAGGTGGGGGGGGGGCTGATCTGTCTGCGTGGTACTTAGATCTGGCCCATGGAGCCACCCTGGAAGCAGTGAAGGACCACCCCGCGATGCTTCTGCCAGCGAGAACAGAGCTCGGGAGGAGCATGTGCACATGTCTCCCACACGCAACCCGCATGCGTGTGCGGCAGACACCCAAACATCAGCTGGCTGGCAGGAGGTGTGCAAACATGTGCGGTGGAGCTGATCTGGAGCAACAGCTTGCGTGCCCGCAGAGAGGACTCTTGCCATAGATTCGCCATCACGCCCCTAGCATGATTTTTCAGGATGCCACAAATAAGCCGCAGTTAAGATTAGCCAGATGGATGCATTTAAGTACCGTATTTTCCCGAAAATAAGACCTAACCAGAAAATAAGCTCAAATGTGTCTTTTGGGGCAAAAATTAATATAAGACCCAGTCTTATTTTGGGGGAAACATGGGTACAAATTAAACAAACAAACAAACAAACAAACGAAAACAAATAAATAGGATTAGTGCCTTTCCTTCCCTCCCCTCCCTTCACATTTTTTTTCTTCTTTTTTGCACGTAAAACTTTATTAGGGTCATGTTGTGACTCAGCAGAAGTTTGCTGTGAGTTGAGTCGGGATGCAGGAATAACAATGCAGCTG